AAATGAATTATTTGATTAATTCATTTCTGCATAGCATTACTGAACAACATAAACAAAAAAGCTTCCTGCCCCACGGAGCTTATTAGCAATCTCTGTTTATACAGTAGAAAGTAGTTAGGAAGACTCTAGAGGAATGAGAGGGAGAGGATGACAATTTATTTAAGAACTAAAAACAAAGAGATACACTTTCAAATATTTTAGTCTGCCTTTGGGACAAAAATTGTGGACAAGACTTTCTTTCAAGACAAAGGAAGATGCACAGTCCGTTCTTGCCATGTCTACCATAAAGTTGTGAAAAAGGAGGATCATTCCAAAGATTTTGCATTCAGTTCTTTTGGCTTGATTTCAGATACTGATTCACCAATGTGTATTTAATAATTATTTGCAGAGCATTCAAGGTGGATTGTGTTTTACTGAAATAAATTATATCCATGAGACATGCCGCAAAAAGAGAAAGAGTTAGAAAGAGTATGAAGAATAAATAGATTCAATATTAAAATAAATGTTCTCCTATGCTACCATGTAATAAAGCAAACATGACCAGTTGGAATTACTACTGGAAGAAATAAAATGGCAGCTGGTTTTAACAAGGTTGGAAGAGCATTTTAATGACTAAGGCAGGGGTAGGCAACCTTGGCTCTTTTATGACTTGTGGACTTCAACTCCCAGAATTCCTGAGCCAGCACGGCTCAGGAATTCTGGGAGTTGAAGTCCACGAGTCATAAAAGAGCCAGGGTTGCCTACCCCTGGACTAAGGCAACTACTAGAAATCTCTTCATTATTGTTGTATGATCTAATATCTTCCAGGTCCTGAATTCCTTTCCGTATAGCAAATTCTGCACTCCAGGTGTGTGATTTCGAAATAAATGTCAATATTTCAACTTCCTTCCTTCCTTCCTTCCTTCCTTCCTTCCTTCCTTCCTTCCTTCCTTCCTTCCTTCCTTCCTTCCTTCCTTCCTTCTTCTGGGATAAAAATACAAATGAGTTTATATTCTTACATAGCACTTAAACTGGGTCAATGAATGGTCTGTTTTCTATTTCAAATGGAATAAGTATAGAAGGCAGTCAGTAAATTGCTGAATCTTTATCTTTAAACTTGGCTGATGGCATTGCCAAGTTACATGTCCTGCCATCCTGTCTGCCATCCTGTCTGCGCCACCCTGTCCATACTTCCATGTTTAATGCATATATCATTGCTAGTGTGGCAGGATGTGCACTTTATAGAGCAGTGGTGGCGAACCTATGGCACGCGTGCCAGAGGCGGCACTCAGAGCCCTCTCTGTGGGCACCCACGCCATGCCCCGGAGATGGCAACCGTCCTCTTTAACCAGCCACCTGCTAACTCGCCAAGGTCCCACATGGCTGGATGCATCCCAGCACCCATGCGCTTGCTGGCTTCTGTGTGCGGGGGCCTATGGTGCCAGGCCCCTGCCTCACCCTGCAAAAATGGCACCCCCGCCCTGCCTCACCTCGCCTTGCCTCACCTCACCCCACAGGACCAGCCTCCTGCCCACCGCCCCACCCACCAGAGACCCCCTGGATCTCCCCCACCCTACCCGGCCCCCACAGGTGTCCCTCCCCAGGAGCAACATTGAGTTGGCCATGCCCACTCATCTGCCATGACCTGTAGCCACGCCCACCCAGCAGGCCATGCCCACCCAGAGGCCACGCCCACCCGGCACCCGGCGATACATAAGTGGGTT